TCCGCATACTTTTCGAAGTGCTACCCAGGGAAAAGCTGTACTGTCATCGTTCGAAGTGTCATTTTGGGCAAAATCAAGTTCAGTTCCTAGGTCACACCGTGTCGAGCCAAGGCATCGCGGTGGATTCCAAGAAGACTGAAGTGATTGCCAATTGGCCAGTTCCCATGAACCAAAAGCAATTACAAAGGTTTTTGGGTCTCGCAGGCTACTACCGTCGCTTCATTTTCAACTACGCGACAATCGCCTTACCGTTTGGATCTCTGATCAAGAAGGACAACACCTGGAACTGGAATGAAGAGCATGATATCGCCTTCAGCAAACTGAAAACAGCACTACAATCCGCCCCAGTCTTGGCTTTACCGGATTTCTCTCCTCTGTTCATCGTGACAACCGATGCTTCAGGATATTGCGTGGGTGGAGTGCTTTCGCAAAAGCACAACGAACATGATCATCCGTTAACTTTCCTCTCCAAGAAGTTGGGTGTGCATGAACAAAATTGGCCTACCCACGAGAAGGAACTCTACGCAATTAAGCTGTCGTTGGAAAAATGGCGTCATTATCTTTATGGTCGTCATTTCGACATCTACACCGACAACAGTGCATGTCAGTGGTTGTTACACCACCCTAATGTTTCTTCGAAGCTTGCACGCTTCTTGACCTTCTTTGCTCAGTTCGACTTCACACTTCATCACTTGAAAGGGTCGATGAATGTCGTAGCTGATGCACTGTCCCGTCCTCCAATGGACTCAACTCCGAATGCGTTTCCATCACCAGTATTGGCTCCATCTCTTGCGAGCCAGACGATGACAAAACGACATCGAGTTTTCGAGTAGTGTGCGATCTACACGCAGTTAATGCTTCGTTGTCGACTTCAGACAGTGAAAGCTCGACTGTTCCAGATTCATAGAGTGTTGTGCGTCCCGCTATCAATACGATCAACTTTCACACGTGTACTCCGCAGTGTGACAGTTTTGCATCACGCTATCGTGCAAGACAGCATCAGAAGGTGAATACGATAATGGTGTCTTCGGCTCTCTCGCCTGTTGAATTTTCGGGAGAGGAGATGGCTGATGCTTCTGCTGGTCACCTCGCCATACATGATCTTTCCGATGGTTATCTCCACATCCCTGTTCAAGATGCAGAGATCGCCACATCGGTTGTGCAAATGCAACACGCAAGTTCGCTAGGATGGACTTCGAATCTCAAACAAGAGTTCATCAAAGCCTACCACACTGATCCCGGATTTCGAGACAAGTGTCGTTCTCCACACGATCCATACGTACTCAAGGATGGATTGCTTTATGTGCAATTCACGGACGACAAGGAGTCCAAAGTGATGAAACTTTGTGTCCCGAGATCGCAGCGCAATCGTCTAAGAACGAAGATTATCGAGCAATTTCATGATTTCAGTATTGCCGCGCACCCAGGAATTCGTCGTACGTATCTCCGTATCAAGCAATGGTACTACTGGGTGTCGCTTCATGAAGACGTTTCCGATTACGTGCAAAGTTGTGAAACCTGCACACGTTGGAAGCACAGCAACGCCAAGAAGAATGGCAAGCTAATTCCGATTCCAATTCCTAAGGAATGTTGGGAAGGCGTCTCCATGGATTTCGTCACTGGATTGCCAGAATCCGACGGCTATGATGCTATCATGACCGTCGTGGACAAGTTGTCCAAGCGTCCAATCTACTGTCCCGTTCACACTACCGATGATGCCGAAGAAATCGCTCATTACTTCTTCGACAATGTCGTTCGGCATCATGGAGTGCCTGCAGTGATCATCAGTGATCGTGATCCCAAATTCACGTCACGTTTTTGGAACTCTTTCGCGCAGATCATGGGTGTACAGTTGAATATGACAACGGCATACTGCGCTCAAGCTGACGGCCAAACCGAACGTCAAAACCTGGTACTAGAAGATGCACTCCGTTGCATGGTCTCGTATCATGGTGATGACTGGGCTGCCAAGTTGGGAACGATTGAGTATGCTCACGCTACGCCAGTCAGTGCTTCTACCGGACTTTCGCCATTTGAAGTAGACACAGGACGTAACGAACGCAATCCCTTCGGAACATTTCCTACGCTGTATACCACAGTTCAAGTACAACAAGGACTGTCTGAGTATGCAAACCGCTTTAAGGATGAACGCGACAAGATTATCGGCAAAGCCAAAGAACACCTACTCAAGGCTCAAGCATCGCAAAAGAAGTACTACGATCAACGTCGTAGCAACGTCCAATTCAAGGAAGGAGATTTGGTTATGCTTGATACACGCCGTATTCCACTCAGGCATACTGCGAAAGACATTGACGTCAAACGTGCAAAGTTAGCGGCTCGTAAAGTTGGTCCGTTCGTGATCAAGCGCATGATCAGCGACAACGCTGCCCGTCTTGATTTTGCCACGCAGTATGAAGTCGTTGAACCCTACTTTCAACGTAGATGTTCTCAGCCATTACGTCTCCAACCCGGACAAGGTTGAGACTCGTGTTCTTCCGAAAGCATCTCGCATCATCACAGATGAAGACACTGGAGAAGACCTCCACATTATCGAGCAACTGCTACGCAAGCGCCAGTTCAACCGCAAGATTGAGTGGCTTGTCAAGTGGCATGGTCTTCCAGACCACGAATATTCGTGGGAACTCGAGAAAGACATCAAACACGTCTCGAACTGGAAAGTTCTCGTCGACGACTTCAAGCGCCGTCAACGTGAAGTCAAACCCGGGAGGATGTAAGGATCGAGACGTGACGAGCACGTCGTCGGCCCGCCCCGTTCAAGTGCAAGACTAGGGCGTAAGCATGAGTCTAGCTTAGGCACCTTCACTCATGAGAAGGAAGAAACATGCACATGGAGGTCGAGCGGTGACGCTTCTTGTCCTTGGTCTCCTCTTCGGCTCAATCAGGAACTGGGATCTCGATCTCGCGGAGACGCTGGTAAATGGACACTGACACGCGGTACAAAGCGTTGTGGACGTCTGGTTGCGAAGCCTTAATGAGCTTGATGATGGCCTTCTTCTCCACCGGACGCTCAGTCTTGTTCGTTTTGACCTGCTTTAACAGAGCCTCTAGAATACGATCGGATTTCGCTATCGAGTTGTAGAGGTCCTGCCGAGCCTTGTCCGCCTTGCGTGGGTTGTTAACCGCAAGCCTCAGGAACGAACCAATCAGCTTCGTTTTCTTGTCCTTGTGGACCTTGGAGTGTGCTCTCGTCATCACCTAGCCCTACCGGGCCAGAAACAGCAAGTCGAAGTTAGTGCTGTGCCGGGCTACCAAGATCAAAAACTGACTAACCGGCTTCGAGACTTATAGTGCTCGACTTAGTTGCGGTGCAGTCTTCTTAGAACAGTAGCTACTTGGGCTAATGGGCTGTTACCGGGGCCAGTTGAAAGACAAACTTGCACCACGGCTGCCCAGCAGTTCTTTCCCACGTTCAGCGTACAGTAAGAGGTTGCCCTACTAAAGTACAGATGTCTCCCCAACAGTTGGGTTGGTCACGCCGACGTGACACTTACACCGCAAGCTGAAAATGCCTCCCCTTGAAGTGCCGTGCAGCGGCGAGCCTTCCCCCCGCAAGTGCTACCAGATGTCGTGTTTGGCTCCGGAGTGTAGGTGGTTAAGGTGAAGAGTCCTGGTCGATGGGCCAGGAAGTGTAGACTTGGTTGTTGAGATCGAAGTGCGGGACACGAGGTGTATTTGCGAATGAATCCTTAGCCTAACATGCATGCCTCGCTGTGGTCCTAGATGAGCACAGCGCGATATTTGCTTATTTCTGTTGTGTCTCTTACCTATGTGTTTGTCCTCGTCTCTTTGTGTTGATTTCATGTATTTCCTACTAAATGCCTGTTCACTGTTTCTGATTTCTTTTCTTTTTGACTTAATGCATGTTCGCTGTGACTGCTGACCCTCTCGGGTAGCAATCCCATGCGTGTCGAGCCTCTGGTCACGAGCAACCAAGCCCGAGCCTTTGCTCCGCATCGCTCTGACGTGCTTGCTCAGCAGGCCAGAGGTGCTGGGCATGACAATTGATTATAGTTGCGGACGATAAAGACGGGGTGGTCATCTCACATGTCAGATCAGTTTCTGCAACATGATTTGCCACATCGGTAAGGATGCAAATTTAGTACAGAGATTTGTATGGTTAAACCAGCCTTATTCAGTGGGGCACAATTGTGAAAATAGTTGACCAAGCGGCGTACAGCAGCAAAAAAAGAGCTTGTTTTGACAACCTTGGCGATTTTCATGTACAGTAATGTGCGTGAATACCGGACACCTGATATATATATAAGGTCTCTAAGAGTATAAGGTGAATCCGATTGGTTAGGAAAAAGCAATGTATTGATATGATTTAGCTCGTCAAGAAATTGATGGCGGCCTTGTTAATAAGGCCCGAGTGATACCAGCAATGCTGTATGGTATCTGTGAGGCTTGATCAGTAGGAGACGCAGAGGCCGCGAGGAAGTGTTGACCGCGATGCCTAAACCGTTGAGGTGGTTGGATGCGAATTCGAAAGTGAGTTTATTTCGAAAAAGCCCTGTGGCCGGCCGTCTGGGCAGTGCCCAATGCGGTGCTAGAGTAAATCAATCTGATTGGTCAATCCACTTCAAGTTGAAGTGAATTGACGTGCGTCATACAAACGTCAATGTAGTTGACAGAGATAATGCACTCGCTCGTCATCGACTCTCACGTGTCATCGACCTCTTCAAAGTCATCGAAGAAGGCCAGGACCTCCCACAACGCATAACTCGGCCCATCTTAGGAAGTAGCGTAGGCTAGCGTACAAGCGGGTTGTTGGTCCGATTTACGATGTCTTCGCTCACACTGTTAATGTTCCACCACTCCGGCTTGAACTTGTTGATCCAGATTTTCTTGAAGTACTTCTAGAACTTCCAACTGTCCAGTTGGACCAGGAGTAACCAATACCCCTCGCTTGGCAGTCGCGCTTGATCATGGATCGGACCTCGTGGGCGCCTCGGAGGGTATATCCATAGGTCGGATAACCGTCAGCGGTCAATGCAGCCCTCCCGCATGGTCAAGTCCACTTCATCTTCCGTGATCTTCAACTTCATCATCTTCCGACGGAGCGCTTGCTTGGAGTGAAATAGGCAGCCAACAATTCGGGATTCTGGAAACTGGTTCTGGACAGACGTGATCATGGCGAACTCGAAGTCGCACACAACATGCGCTGGAAAGATTTTCTGCCTTGCCCCGACGTAAATGTTGTGAAACGGGCGATCGTACACCTGAGCCGTTTTCCCGGTCGTAAGGACGTACCAAATTGGCAAAAAGAGCTCCGAAATCAAATCGTAGAGCATCACAATCTCCAACTGGTAGAATGGAGCAGGCACCCAACGATAAGTTGAGTCGATGAAGACTGAACTTTGCCGCTGCTTCATACGATCCAAATTGTGTCCGTCATCAGCAGCATCCCCTCTTTTCGGTCGG